CGGAACTGTAACTGTCGGTTTATCTAAATCATATATATTCAGGATGTTAAAAGGAATAAGAAAAAGAAAGAAAACTTAAACATACATTTGACATGAAGAAGAAATTGTCGATTGACAGTACTCAATGTATTACTTGCTGAACAATCGACTCGACCCGAATCAAACCGTGAAATATTACGTAAGATAAGAATGCTCTCATTTTTACCCGTAACTAAATATATAAAGATGTATGTGTGACAGGATGTCAATTTTCTTTTCTTTAAACTATGACATACTTGTTGTAACTGTTGCTGGCCTCGATAGACCATTGACATGCCAAAGAATAACGGGTACTGGTCGACCGGATGCTGTACAAGAAAATCGACCATTTCGACCTTCGCGAACTGTCATACGCATATGTTCCGGTGAATGAGAAATGATTCTTGGTGGTACTAAAAAAAAAAAATAAGAATCAATAGATACTTATAAGAAACAAAAGGAAAACATAGAACGTGTTCGATAAAAATCTTCTCTCAAGATAGTGTTCATCGACAAACTAATGTGATGGACGTGACTTACAATCAATGTTGACTCATTAACATCATTATCGAATGCATATATGTATTATGATCAAACACAGATATTCATTTTCTATTTAACTCGTCGATCACATTAATTTCTTTGTTACGTTTATATTGTTGTCTAGAGCACGATCTAATAGACTTTTTCATTTAATGCTTCATCAAATGATCATTTTCTTGTCTTTGTTTTTTATGTTTAAGGTGTAGATATCATACTTGAAAAACAATTAGCTTATGCACAGCTGCTTTTGTATGTTCTTATAGTATGGGTAAACCTTCCTATCACGCTCATTGACATCGAAATGAGAATACAAACGCACGTATATATATATATATTAAAGAAAAAACAAAATATGAAAGAATAGATTCAATGGAGTGAACAATCAGCCAGAAGACAGATTACTAATAACAAACAGAACAATGTATAGTCGACACATACAAAAAAAACTAATTTCTACACCTTCGAGGCAAATCATACCATTTATTTCAATGTAATTGAAGTGAAGGTTATTAATATGCTGACACTATTTAAATGATTTCCTTGAGATTTTTTTTTGATGAAATAGACATAACTATCATTAAACGGAAGTTATAGATCTATCATTCTTTTTTATTTTATAGTCCGATTATCGTGCACCTTCGAAAAACGTACTACTTGATGTCATAATGTCAAATATATTTCTTCCGATATTTATAGGTATGTCTGATAACACCCTCTATTATATCTAAGAAGGAGGGACGACATACAAACATGAAAAAAAAAGATCCAAATGTAAACGTATGAGGCGGATTGTTTTTGTCTCTTCATATGTGTGTGTTTGTGTATGTATACGTATCAACAACACCCCAAAACGAGAGAAGGTCAGTCAACATACGCACACGCACACACACACACCTCGGACATATGTTTGCATTGTCAAAATGAACCCGAGTGACGATCAAAACAATGATATGATAAAGCACAAACATACATATGCTCATGAAGGTTTTTATACATATATATATATATAGAGAGAGAGAGGGAGACAGAGATAGATGAGTTTGTCTATTGATTTAAGAAAACAAGAGAATATACTTACGGAGTACATCAAGAAAAACTTCATTTAATGTAATATCACCACGTACACAACGATATAAACCTTGATCTTGTTCTTCAACATTAATTATACGTAAAATACGTTCTTCACGATCAATACTATCCATTGTAAGAATACTTAAACGACGATCTCTTACTGTTATAACTGAATCAAGACTGACAATATCTGCTCGATCATCACGAATCCAGATGATCTAAACAATAGTAGAAAAAAAAAGAAAGAAATGAATTAAAGATAAAAAAAAAAAAGGAGAGAAAATTTCGTGCTGAGTAACTATTAATGAATATGTATATACATTCACCAGCTGTGTATTGCTCATGATGTCATCGTTATTGTGTGCCCCCTGGAAACTGCTTTCATTCTTTCTTTTTTCTTTGAACAATACAATACCATACCAACAATAACAAACTGTACTCAAACATATAAACACTTGTCCCTCCCAGCACTTACCTTTGCAGGATTTGCCGGTTCGATATTTTGACCGACTGAACAGGGTAATTCGACAGTACTAGCTAAAGCTGTTTGAATTGTTTCTAATTGATTCGTTTGATAAGGTTGTTGAATTAATAAAATATAAATGATAACGACAATAGACAACATTCGATAGGCATTGACGATTGATTAGATGATAGATTAAATAAAAATTATAATTGAACGTTATACTTTTTACGGTTGCTTCATATAAACCTACATACCGTTGAATTCTTCAAAAAGAAAAACAAAAGAAAAGAAGAATAGTAGTAGTGGACAGTATCAAAAGCGGAAGTTCTTTTCGGCACTATGAGTTGACTTTCTTTTTTTTTTTGGGGTATGTATAGTAAGAAAGAGAAAAAAATGAGAGAAGAAATCAAGTTGATTTGTTTCAAGTGGAGAGGATAACTTTTGCTTTTCTCTTTCTTTCTTTTTCTTCTGACAGTGAAAGAGCAAAAGAGAGAGAGAGAGAGAGAGCAAGCGAAAGGGAAACAAAGAGAAACATTTTCTTCTTCTTTTCTTCATAGGCGTTTTTTTTTTGAGTGACAGCATCATAGACCAACGGTCACCCATCCATTCACCTTCTGTCATTCATCACATTTTGCCTCATATCTTAAGTAGGTTTATATATATATATATATTGTAAATGATCCGCCTTGCTTACTCATACACTTTGAAAAGCTCGTTAGGGGCACGCGAACATTACATGTCAAATGATGATCGATTCAATGATATATCTATAAAGATAAACATATTTTGCACGTTTGATGACTTCATTAAAAGAAAAGAAATTTACGTTTTTTTTCTTTTTTTTTTTTGTTTTTTGAAATATGTCTGTTCTGTTTTCAATAGAGTGATTAATGAGGCTTGTTACACATTTTTTCTTGTGTTCCACGATAAGTATCTTACAAGATTCTATACATTTTACAATAAATTGAAAGTAAGAAGACGCGTTCACGGACAATTTAACATGATGTTTTATTTGACTTGATGAGGATCAGCATTCTATTTCTATTTCATATGAGTAATTGATTTTCAAAGTTTCTTTTCTCTAATGTCTTGTCGACACACACGATTCCAATTTGTAGTATGTATGTATATATATATATATATATATATGGGTATGTATGTATGTCTATATGTATATGTAAGACGACGACGGCGGCGACTACAACGGAAACTAAATGCAAATAGTGATGGCGTTGAGCACGAGCTAATGAGAATGCGCACAGACGGGAAAAGAATACTATCCAACTTAAATGGACTTAACGAGGAAAAAGAAATTGACAAACAAAAAAAAAAAGAAGAAGGGCGGAGACATTATAAGACCGAACTTCTCAGGAAGTTCAATAGAACACACTAAACATCTGGATGAATGTATGTTCATGTTTTAGATATAGATATAGAACAGCCGTCACTGTGTTTGTACATTCTTGAATATCGATATCAGAATAGCGGAAGCAGCCGCTTTCAATGCTTACATCATCATCGTCATCATCATCGTAATACTCATCAGACACAGCATGTCATCAGATCATGTATGGATGTACACGCACGGACAGTCATTTCTAAATGAAGTTAGAAGAATCAATTTAATACATGTCTATTGTATATATGTTTGTCGTCGATCTGATCGATGATCCTTGTTGATAAAAAAAAGAGAAAAAAAAAAAGAAAAATCTCCTGTTCTAAATGAGTTGTTGAGAAATGAGTTGTTGAGAAGAAAGACTGACATTAAATAGAGTACATGCAATGACAATCTTAAACTGGTATAATATATTTACTAACAAATTAATGCTTATTAACGATAGAAGCATATTATTTTTCAATTACTTGCTAACCTTGAAAATAAGAAAGAAGACAAGGAGTTGTTTAATATCGATCGTTGTCTTGTCTTCTTTATATCGGGAGAGTTCGTGTGAACAACATCTGTCATTGTGTGCAAACACACACACACACACATCTATATATCTATATATGTATACATTGGTTTGGCTTCATCTAATGTGTCCCGACGGATTAGAATCGAACCTGTTCACACACACACACACACACAACCTGTTTCTATTTCAATCAGACGTAGGTGTCTGGATGTCACGCGAGAAATGGACAATCGAAAGGAGAAAGCAACATTAATACGAATGGAACTTTTTCTTTTATGCAATGCTTCATTATTATCGTCATCGTCGCTTCATCTATCCTTTCTCGTAATGATTTACGTTTGATTAAACACGTGCAATGTGTTAATTTAATTCGTCGTTTTCCCTTTTTTTAGTCTCGTATTCGGTCTCATTCTACATATATTTCATCCATTGTGCTTCGATAAATTCATGCATGTGTGTGTGTGTGTGTGTGCTTTACTACTGGTACTGATTCTATAGATCTTTTTAACTTAGCGAGAAAAAGAAACAGTTAGATTGAATCGATTTTAGAACGACATGATAAGTGTCCACTCGAGTAGAAAAGAAATAGTATTGTCTATAGAATGAAACTGATATGATACCTTGAAAATGCTTTCTATACTGTTGTGCACACAAGTTGATGCTCATTTTCTTTTTTTCTCATTCGCTTTTTGTCGACTTCCCTCTTGAGGTGGTAATTAAACGAAAGAGAAGGATTGACTTATATATGTGCATATGAGTTAGGCGGAGAATCCTTCAATATGGAATGCCGGTCAACGGAAACAACGCATACAGAGTAAATAATTGAAGATGTTACCAACAAGCATCGTCAACTATCAATGCGGTTATTCGCTTCAATACTCATCCAAAAAAAAAAGATGAACAAAAAAGAAAACTATTTTTAGACTACAATCTATATACTTTTTCAATAAAAATAATTGAAAATCTACTTTGTCTTCCAGTTAAAACTATAAGTTTCTGTTGACTACTCATGACAAACTTATTTTCTAATTGCTCAAATGAAGCATTATAATTAGGGAGTATCTAAAAAGATATTCAACAAAAAATGATCTGTAGTTCTAATAACACCTTATCCATTATTATAGCATTATAATTCTAGTCAATATATAAGCATATACTAATCAATTAAACTCTATAAAACAAAGGTAAAACATACATTGATTATATCAGAATTTGTAAAAAAAAAAAAAAAAAGAACCTTAGTATTATACTTATTTATAAAATCGACTAGAAGCAATCGGTTTTTTTCCTTCCATTGGAAATTGATCCGATTAATTATTGAACGAATAATTCTATATTCAGCAGGTATAATATTGTCTGTTAATTATTATTATTATTATTATTATTCTCATATTACATATACCATCTGTCAGAGAATGATGACAGCGAAGAATAAATAAATAGTAAGACAAATCTATCTAACATAATCAAATAGATTGCGTGATGAACAAGATATGAATGAATTCTTTCTTAGATGTTCTTTTTCTCAATAAGAATATTCAAGATTATTTTTTCCGCACAAAATATTATTCTCTCTTGTCAGAATCAATTTAAAAACTATTTTCTCTATAACACAAAAAAATAAATAGTAAAATCGTTTATTGAATGATAAATTTTTGATAGTTGTACTAAATGATGATTATATATAATTATGATTGTTTAATTGATATACAGATAGTTCATCTTGTTTCTGATACTAGATGTAAAACAATATGAAGTATGGTATCATTTTTATTGATTATTTCTTCGATAATTTACCAGTAGTTAAACTTTCTGACATCTAATGGCGGAGCCAAAGGGCTTAGTCATCTTCTCTTGTTGAAAAAAATTTTTTTTTCTTCGCAAATCTCACCATTCGTAGGAGTGCTGAGCCGACTAGTTCCAAAACCTTGGCCTCGATCTGTAATGTATCATTAGACACAACGTTGTGAAAAAAGAAATAAATTAACAATTGTTCTTCTATAGTTTAGTTCAAATAAAAAATATTTGAATTTTTACCATAGATTATTTATTTCATTGATTTTAGACAAATAATATTTGTTTTTATAGTTCATTTATACTTATTATCAAATTTTGTCTCTTGAACAAGTTCATTGGCAATACAATTTCTGATAAAAATCTTTGCTTTAAAATATCTCCCAAACACTTTCTGTAGTGTTAATAAACTCGAACTTTTCTTTTAGAGTAATTTTTCTTTTGAATCTTTAAAATTGTCTAATGTCTGATCATATTATATTTCTCAATAGTCTTTCCGTATGAATTTGAGAAATATTATCCATATCTAAATTATCATAATAAAGAGTAGCTAGATCTAGTTTATATGAAGTGTCTTAGACATTATCTTCAGTTTTGTTTTATGTTGATATTCAATTGAGATTTTTTTGTCCTTCTGTAATCTTAATTAACATAAACTTTTGTTCTCTATTAAACAAAGTAATGAAGTGCAACAGTAAGTTCACAATTTTTTTTCTCTCTGAATAATAAAAATAAATTTCATCATACAAAGTGATTACATAATCAAAATTTTTCTTTGATGTTAACAAATGTATCATCCATCTGTTTCTATGAAGCCAACATTATACAATGCATCGAAACTTTTAAAATTACCATTTTTTTTTTGGTAGATAATATGAAATAAAATCTTGTTGAATATTTCCTATAAATATTCCATTATACTAACATTAAGAATATAACTACACGTTCATCATTCTTTACAGTTTCGATAGTTTTCATTTTCATAACAGCAATATTCATTATCAATTTTGAATTATGATTTGTTAATACATTCTAAAATTTACTTATTTTTGAATCGTTAGTTTTTACTTTTATTTAAAAAAGAGTTTTATTATTTTTCATCTAGAATATTTCAAAATATATCTACTTATAACATAAGTGTTTCGTCTATTAATTAAATTTCGTTTCTCTGATGGCAAACAGTCATTTTAAATTAAGTGCATTGTACATGAAATTAGTCATGAATGAGCCAAGTATCTAGACTAATATTGACTGTCTTTTAGAATAATAAATCAATAAGTTATTAATTATTGATATAGGGCAATATGGCGACGTGAAACTTCAATCTTTGTATAAAAATTCTAGCATACGAATATTATTCAATGTAAGAGCAATAAACAGGATTTCCGTCGATGTTTTTTTTTTATTCATTTTATCATTCTTCTATTTTTTTAATGACAATTCAATGATCTCATCAGTTAATACATGCACCAATATAACGATTTGTACGAATATAAACTTCTATTTGATCACTTGAAGGGGTTTTGGAAAACAGAGCATGTATGTAAAACTAGTTGTCCTGAGCTTATAATTTCGATATAGGAAAATATAAAACTATGTGTAATTTTAATAGTAATGCTTTTTGTACTGTTGTCATTGTTTTCTGTACTTTTATTAAAAGTTGACAAATTACATTATTCTTATATATATATATTCATCTTGAACTTTTCAAGACGATGTCTTTTATGAGCTAACCATAGATATATGAATATCTCGTATAATCAAGAAAATGAAAATAAACTAAGATCAAATCATAGTATTAGTAGAGATAGAATTTTATGGTATCGATAAGACAATTGTAATAATCAGTAGAATATATAATTATTGAAGGAAAAAAATTATAGGAAATAATTATGATATATCGGAAATATGCGAAGTGTTAAATAAGTAACTCCAAGAAATAAGAAATACAGCATGTACCACATACACAAATCATTGCCGATTCAATCTTCTCTCGTGCAACTATTCAAGACCATCAGTACTATTACGTAATAGTATGCTTCAAATAAAGATAAAAATAACATTACTTTGAACGATCACGACTTCGACTATGTCACATCTATGATCCTCATTAAATACTAGTTATAAACGCTCTCATTATTTACTACAGTTTCAAGTTTAAAAAAAAAAGATTGCTTGAAAATCGATCCGTTTTTCATAAACTCTCGATTAGTATTAATTTTTGTTGTAACTATTTTTTCTTCTTCTAAAATGATATCAGTAACTATAATGATTTATATCACTTAACTCAAACACAGTTGTTATATTTTAACTAACGAATAAAAACAATGCAGTCATGCTTTAATCAGAACTATTTATGCAGACTCATTTACTATATTTTATTTCATTTAATGATTTTTTTTTCACAGCATACAATATCAATTATACAAATTAACAGTAAATGCTTCTTAATAAATTAAAACATAAAACTAATTATAAGTAACAGCAATAAATATTATCGATGAAAAAAATCATTCATGCAAATAGTATCTTTAGTGACAAGTTTTTAATGAATTCTATTTGTTGATACATTTATTTTTCTTTTTCTTAATTGATCACAGTGTCACTGTTGTTGTATTATTATTATTGATAATGATAGAAAGCGTTAACATTTAATCATGTTCTATGTTGTTAGATATATATTTAATAAATCTTCTCCATGAAAACTTTAATAATACAAATAGACATATATGTAATTCAAGATTTGCATATACTAGAAAACAATTCAAGAGATATGACATTGTTACTAATTTTTACTAATCAAATGTAATTATTCACTGACTAATAAACATTTCGATTAGCAATATATAATAATTTGATAGAATAGATGTCTAAATTCAGATTCGATCGGAGCGATGATATTCAGATGTACAATATAACACTATTAAATAATATTTAATAAAAATTGCATGATCATCATAAGAACCATCGTTTGACAAGATTAGTCACTTCTTTATTCAACTTTTAAATTAAAAGACAGCCTATTTGATTACCCATTGAATGTAACATAGGAAAATAACTGGTTAAAGTCATAAGGAAATTGACAACTTTGTATAATCTACAGACAGATGAAAATATTTTCATGAGTTAGAGAAACATTTCCATGTTACTAAGATTTTTTGTGTAGTAAGAAGTATTTATATTCATATAACGAAAGTAGATCTTTTTATATTATGAAAATGTTAATAAAAAACAATTTGTGCATATAAAAAAGGAATGCCATTCTGATACTTCTAATACTAATGAATTCGTTATAGAAAATAAATTTTAACATTATTGTTATTAGATAGAGAAATAGTTTAAGAAATGAAACGAAAAACATTAATGCAAAAAAGTCACTGTTGTATATCTAATAACTCTCATCGTCATTTGAAATGAAGAAACATCAATGTTAGACATGATATGCGTAATTACTGCAAGAATTGGTAAATACTTTGCGAACATCATTCTTGTTCATTTAATAAAAAGGCGTCATAAATTTTTTATATACTTATCTTATAGATACTTCTATTTAAACCTCATGTGGTTCATTTTCAAAAATGTTGTACTAATAGTCAGTATCTGATTCCGCTACATTTTAATTGAATATCTATGTAATGTGAGAAATATTTGTGCGTTTTTATTACGAAAAATATGACATAGATGGGTCAACTATTTTAATGTTTCATTTTTCTCTAACATCATTAGAATATGTTGATGATGTTTTCAAAAAAAAACAATATTGTATTTATCGTTATACTTTTTATTTAAAAACTTTTTCTTTTATAAAACTACATGAGAAAAAAACGTATAAATATTGATGAAGATCATCTAGTTTAAAACAAGTGTTCATCTATGACCATTTGTTTATATTCATTTTCAACATTTATATGTCCCTGGTGCACATTGACATTTGTCATAATTACAGCTATCTTTGTCACATTCTGTCTCTTGATTAGTAAAACAACAATATAATAAAAAAAAAAAATTTAATATATAAACTTACTAGGTTGACAACATCGACAATTTGAATCACATATACATTTGCCTGTTTGTGCACAATCTTCGCACGAACATTTTCCAGCTAGAAAAACAAAATTATTCGAACTGAGCTTGATATTCTCTAATGTTAGAATGTTTACGTTCACACGGACATGGCGTTGTTTTTCGTATTAGAAGTCGTCTTTTGTGACGATACAGTAAAATATATGTGATGTATTTTCAAATGTTCATTGTATTTATTAGGACATTACAGCTAATTATTAATTAATAGAAAAAAAAACAAGGGAGAAGAGGGAAAGATCGAATCTAGTTATATACACAGAAGAAAAAGGTGTACAAATATATTAATTAAATAGAAAGAGGGGATACGACTTGTCAAAAGGAAGGGGAAAAAAAAGGTGTGTTGTACAACATATGGCCTTCAATATGCATGATGTGACTTATGTATCTGTGGTTATTTTGATTTTGTGGTAAAGAAAACCTGTCAACAGACACTAATAAATAAAAACATATGTAAATAGATACGGTCGAATGAGTTATTTCTTTTTTTTTATAGAGCATGAAATATTATGTCTATATTATTTTATTTTTCTTTGATCAACCTCTATTTGATCTATCATAGATCATAAATATTACACGGAAATATTCTTCTAAATTATAATTTCAAGTATTCGATTTCTATAGAAGAAAATGTGTCCCTCAATTTGAATAACTTGTTTAAAACAATGATGTAAAGTTTTATTATCATTGATAAGTAAAACAAATATTGAATGTCAAAGAAATTAAAATCTTGAGACAATATTATCATGACGAGTGATAATCGTTTGATAGAATTTTAAATAGGTTTTTTTTTTAAACTCGAAATGAAACTATATTCACACAGTATGTAATTACTTTTTTATGATTTGTCAATTGTAATGAAAGATTTCATTATCAACTTATTCAAGTTAAATGATATATTTGATACAAACAAAAACTAAATTAACATATGAAAACTTGTTCGTATCATATCTGATTTAACAAGAAGTAAATTTATTTATTTAATATGAGAAAACTACGACAATACATATGCACGAAAAGAAAAAAAAAACAGTCAAGCACAAGTTCATTGTGTTGTATTTTTTTCAAGCATGACATTTGCAAGCTGAACATTTGCAATCGTCACAAGAACATGCTGAACCACAGCTAGTACCTTCATCTATTAAAAAACAAAAAAATAAGAGTTAAAAACAAAATATTAATTTTAATCTAAGTACGTACGTGAGCATGATTTACAATCACATTTACATGAACAAGTGTCTTGACATTCACATGAACCACCTTGACATCCAGCACCACATCCACATTTACCACCTAAATAAAAAAAAGATATATTAAATAATGAGCAAGAAAAATTAAAAATCTCACTCACTTGTACATTGACATTGTTTGGGCATTTTGTTTGTTGATTAGAATAATAATAATAATAATAAACGAAGATACGAATACAAGTAAATTGTATGAGAGAACAATTGTATTTGGTCTGCCTTTTTATATATCTGTTAGTCGTTCATCCCCCCCTCCCCCCTTTTTTTTTCTCACAGGGGTACAGTTTACACTGAGGAGCAGCACCCCCGTCATAGATTTGATTGATATTTCATTTATTCTTATATTCAGCACCCCTTTTCTTTTGTTTTATGTACTATCTGTATACTCCATCAAGGACAACGTATTAAATGAAACGTCAATCACATAAAAAACGTAGTAGAATGAAATGAAATATTCGAGAAAAAACAGCGCAATTATTATTTGTTTTTTCATTATCAAAGAAGTATTTACCAGCGAAAGTATTCAAAATTTTCTTTTTTCAGTTATTGAAAATAAAAAAATAACTTTTACGATTTTCGATAATCAATTCTTTTAAAATAAGTAATCTGTAAATAGCTTGTTTTACATATGCACGAAAAAAAAAGTCGAGATACTTTCAAGGTCAACATTAAATAGAAAATTATCTTTTGAAGAATTTTAAAATAGACAAAAAGAAAATTTCATCATACAGAGCGAGCCATAAATAACATTATGATAAAACAATTGAGATATCTCCGCTTCGGTTCGTTCTAATATGTTTATTGTTTGGTTAATGATAGACGCTTATTTTGAAATTTTTTTTCTTCATACAGATAACGCAAATAAACACTATTGTCGAGTTATACTTTTAACTTACCAAAAATATTTTATCTATTGTTAAATAAGAAAAAAATACATATGAAGAATTATATAGATAATTTTCAGTTGTACCATCGACGAGAATAATAAGAAGTCAAAACGAACTATATTGATGTATATAGGAAAAGTTTTCAAAATTGGTCACATTAACCCATTACCACTCCGTTGGTCCCTGGATTGGTCCATTGTAAAACGATTGCAGAAAATAAACGGAACATGAGATTTGAAAATGACAAAAACACATTTATTGCAGTTAACTTTATGGATTGTTAATTATTGTCCATTTCAAAATATAATGTCCTCCACTGTTTTTTGAATAACTTGAGAACGCAAGTAGCTAGAGACCTACGGTTTTCATCAATCGAAAGAGGAGATCGGGAGCCGTCTTTTTCTTTAATAATGTGTAAGAGTAAATCCTTTTAAAATTAATTATTTTCGAAAAACATGTAAAAGAAGACATGAAAATGACTTGTCATCTAGATGAAATTTTGATTTTGACCTTTGATTCAGATAGAGGAACCTCGAATCTATAGTTCAAGATATAATGCGTTTTCTTACTTTTCATTACATTTCCATCGAAATATCAAACTATTACGATAGAAAAGGTGAGAAAACTTAGTAAAAAATTAGCAAAAATCTCTATTATTTGCGCATGTAAATACATAATTGCATTTGCTCAGCGTTAGAGTGTAATAAGAGAACCAATTTGCATTGTATCTTGAACTATAGATTTGAGGTCCCTCTATTTAAATCAAAGGTCAAAATCTAAATTTCATCTAGATGATAGATCATTTTCATGTCTTCTTTTACATGTTTTTTGAAAATAAATAGTTTTAAAAGGATTTATTCTTATACATTATTGGAGAAAAAAACGTCTTCCGATCTCCTCTTTCGATTGGTGAAAATCACAGATCTCTAGCTGCTTGCATTCTCGAGTTATTCAAAAAACAGTGGAGAACATTATATTTTGAAATGGACAATAATAAAAAGAATGCTTTTTTTTCATCGCTGTCTTTGATATATCGGGTTTACAAAATCGATAATCTTGAAAAAATGAAAAAATTCGAATTTTTTCGAAACAAAATGTTCTCTACCTGCAATCAATAGAGACCTTTCAGAATTTTTATGTGATAAAAATCAATGAAGAAACCGATTCTAGTGAGTTAAGAACATGTTTCGAGAGCTTCACAATAACTCGTCAAATTCTCAAACCAAAGTAAATATTTATTTGACAAGATATATCAAAAGATCACATATTCTAGTAAAATAAAATTTTATCAATTCTTCCTTCCTTTTCTTTTCTATTACTACAATAGCATGGGATTGATGTTGCTCTTGCCTACTTAACAATATGGCCAAAAAAAATTAAGGCTTAGTATGTCATTCAATACACTCTCTCCATCACACAGTCATTTGACCAATCGAACAGCTCCACATAAAGAGATTGACATTTGATGGATTAGAGTACACCATTAGCACATTAGACAGGCTAATACTCTATTTATAAAGCTATTTTATCAATGACTTTTCTAGAATCACTGTGAGAGGTCAAAAGGTTAAATGCTAAAATTCGTGTCTCATAAGTAAAATGATCAATTGTAGTTCTTTGAACATCAAACCATCAGTTTCCTTGCAAAAACTAGTGTTTCTAACTAATTTTGAAAATTTACTTTATGTACACTAATATTGTATAATTCATAAAATTCGTTTTAATTTATTCTTATCATTCTATTATGTCACAATTAAAAATTCTACACATGTATTTTTTCTTACTTGATAACAGGTTAAATAACTTTCATAATACCAACGATAATATTTAGTAGAAGTGTTTGTTTATCTTATCTTTATGAAAAAAAAACTTTAGATAACATTCTATCACTGATAAAAAAAATTCAATCCATTTGATTGAACGGACCACACAAAGACATTTCAGTTTTTTTTTGTATCGTAGTACTATTTATGGCCCATCCCGTAGATCTACATATCATTTCATGTCTACTGCATTGAAATTTTAATATTTACATGCAAATCAATCTGAAGATTTTTTTCTATGCATTTTATAGTTTATTCATAAGATACTTTAGAATAATTAATAGAGCATAAAAAAAAAAAGAAAATGAAAGAAATATAATTGTCTCTTGATGAATTATTGTTTATATTTATTGTCCACATTTACATTGATCACGTGGACATTTGCAGTCCTCACATTTGCATCCTGACTTGCCACATCCTGTGCCTGTACCTGTGCCTAGATTATTAAAAAAAAAGAAAGAAATGAATGTTGTGAAATAAAAATAAATCTAATAGATTAACTTACTCTGCTGTCTGCATTGACAACTTGAATCACATGTACATTGGCCTGTTTTTTTGCAATCTTCTTTACATGAACATTTTCCACCTAAAGAAATACAAATATTCATTTTGAACTTAATAACCTCTTATATTAGATAACTTACTTTCGCAACGGCAAGGCATTGTATTTTGAATAAGTAGTTATATGTTAATGATTGAGCGAGAAAAGAAATATGATGTGCCTTCGAATATGCCTCTGTATTTATAGTACCAGATAAAGTGTCTATTTACAGAAAAAAGGGGGTGTGCCTTTTTTTCATTCTGTACGAGTCAATGAAGCTCATCTCAATAAATAACTTTCATTGGTGCATCTTCTTTTTTTTAATAGTGGTTGCCCTTGTTTCTATGAAGAAAGGAAAAAGAAATGTGCGCACATTAATAGGAAAATGAGAGAATATTCGATGATTATAGTGATCTCGAACTTGCTCGAAAAACTATTTCTTTTTTTAGTATAACGACCGAGAAACGGCACCCCCTTTGTTTAACCTATATACAGAACAGAAAAAAAATGTATTGGCTCACACATACAACCATTCTGCAGTTATACCTTGGTTTTTTTTAATCTTATTTCTAAAGAAAAATTGTACTGTTAAAGTACATCACATACATAATCAAAATGGAAAAATATTTCAATTAGAATGATTAATCATATATGCATTGAATACATATATGATAAATTTATAAAGAATATTTTCATATTTGTTTATTTCTACATATAAATGTGTACATCATTTCTTTTTGTAATAAAAAACAAAAAATCCAACAAACACAAAAAGAAAAACAGACCAAAAAAAAACAAAATTAATTGTTATTTAAGTAAAACAATTACTATTGAAAGTTATATATATATTTTTTGAATATTCTCTCTATTCATTTGTCTGTCGTTGACTACGTGGATTTTGTGCTTGAATATAATGATAAGCAACGACTAATAAAAAAACGATTACACCAAGAATATTGGTAAAAATAGCCAAAACCTTGTAGATAAAAGTAAATAAATTAAATTAAATATGGAATTTTCATTTTTACTTGATCACTCTCAAGAGTCATCGTATGAAAATATTAAATTATATATATATATATAAATCTGAAAATGTAAATATATAATAGAACAAGATAATTATATATAAAATAGAAAAATTGAATAATGTTGCTTTTTTTTCATTTTATCAAAAGAAAAGAAATTGTTATGCTGTAGAAGGACTTGATGATGGTGCTGGTAATGATTTTTGATGTGATGAAGAAGGAGGTGATTGAAGTTTAAAATCAATCCATGGTTGATTGATTGCATGAATTTTATTTTTATGAACTTTTTCTGTTGTTATTAAAAATCCAGCATTTTGTTCAATAAGTTCAGGAGCAACAAGAAATTCATCGAGTGGTATTGCATTATCAATTGGTTCATTGGGCATTAAATAAGAATATATATCTAATTGATTATCATTTCGTTGACCAATAATTACTTTGAAAAAATGTGTTGGAACAGCAACTTGATTTGAACCAATTACTTGATACTTTACATAGAGTTTATTATCCGTTGGATCAAGTCTAAAGTAGACATATACAGATTAAGGGAATCGGAATGATGAGTACGGAAATGATCAGCACGCAAAAAAAAATGTAGCTAAATATAACGTCTATTGAAAGATCAATAAATGTATATGAGTCGGCTGCCATAACTCATTATTCAATACGTATCTGCACAAGTCTCTAATGGCTATTTATCTCGGATCACTCGTTCGATAGCATGTTGACTACGTTGTGGCATACATCTGCTCTTGTTAGCTAATACATATGGAGAACTTAAACAATTGAGCACAGGAACTCTACGTCAAGTCGATCTTCTACTCAGCATCGCAGTTGTAGAGAAGATATTGGGCTACTGAATCCGTTTCTAGGCGTGTTCATATGTTTATCATTATTAAAAAAAAAATTGTAGTTTTTTTCTTTTTAACGTTAATATATACCTGGAAAGGTAGAGTGGTCCAGTAAGTATCCATAAGCCACCAGTATAATGTTTGACAAGTGCACGAGCATATCTTTCTAAATGTGCCCATTTATCTCGATTGAAACCTTTGCCTACCTAAGGATTAAAACAAATTTTAAATTTCGTTTGTTTTTTTTATTATATATAGATTGAAAAGCAAAAAAGATTTAATTATACTTGTGGAGCAATATTCGAAAGAAAAAATGTATTATTCATGCTTTCTTGAGAAGATCGATGATCTGCACATGGAATGAGATGACCACGATCAAAACCAGAACCTCAGGAGATAAAAACAAAATTTGAAATAAAATTTTTTGTTTTTTTTTCTAAATCTACCAAAATAATCTTGATTTGTTGAACGAAAAAATGGATGAATATGATTATCTTCTCGAAATATTGAATTTCCTCGATCAACATTTTTACCCATTGTAATTGTTTGACGTGTTAAATGTTCAATTGTCCATAATGGAATTCGTGTTCGTCGATCATAACATACTGCAAAATTTGGATCAAGTCTACGAATAATTTGTGTTGATAAATCGGGTGAAAAACGAAGTAATGCACTATCATTTGATAATGTTCGTCCATCCCAAAGACGAAAATATGTACTTGTAGCAAGAACACCAAGTGCTACACCAGCAGCTAGTGTACCGATGCCTTGAACGTAAGACATTCGTCGCGTGATCAGCCATCAGTAACCAAATAAATAATGAATTATCAATATGATTTACTCGTTTCTGAATGGTTCAAAAGTTTAACTGCAACAATCATAGGAAAATATAAAGAAAAAAAAGTTAAAATTAATAAATAATTATAATTTAAAGAAAATTTACTTCTAAAAAAATGATGTCGCCACTATCGACATAACTGGGAAAATAAATAAATAAGACCGTCATTAAATATTTACTTGTGTCATTGTGTATTACGTCTCCTTGTGTCATATTAATCATTTGTTCACATCATGCCTGAACAAACTCAAATTCCTCATGTACTTTGGGCTCAACAACGTGAAACTGTTCTTTTAACAATTGCTGTGCCTGATATTGAAAAAGTTGATGTTAAATTTGAAGAAAATTCAGTTAGTTTTCATGGTCAAACAACATCAGCTAATGGTAAAGATAAAAATGTCTATGCTATTAAAATTGATTTATATGAAAAAATTGATTCTGATGCTTGTAAATATGAAAATATTGGTCAAAAATATTGGCGTTTATTATTGCAGAAAAAAGATGCAAATGCTGCATTTTGGCCACGATTAACAAAAGATAAAGCACGTTTACATTGGTTACAAACTGATTTTAATCATTGGAAAGATGAAGATGAAAGTGATGATGAAAAACCGGGACTTGGAGGAAATTTTCAAGATATGTTCTCTGGAGGTAACATAAAATATTAAACTTCTTTTTTTATTTTTTGTTTTTATATTTAACTTTACATTTATTATTATAAAGGCATGGGTGGAATGGGTGGAATGGGTGGAATGGGCGGAATGGGTGGAATGGGTGGAATGGGCGGAATGGGTGGAATGGGTGGAATGGGCGGAATGGGTGGCATGGGTGGTATGGATGATATGCCAGATATGGGTGATGATTCTGATGATGAAGAAGGTGCTTCAGATGATCAGGAAGCATCACCAATAGCCACTGCAAGTAGTACAAATGCTGAAAATAATCAAGAATCAAAAACACCTAATAAAGAACAAGATGGTGATGAAAATTCAGCTGCGAAAACAAAAACACCTGTTCAAGAATCGGTCACGAATGAATAAATGGCATAGACATTTTCTTTTTCTTTCGCTTGTCTTTCTTTCCAATGTTGTCCGTCCATAGGAGAAATCGTTACTGTTGGTTCTATGTATTCATTTGTTCTTTCGTAGTTATCATTGTGAATGTGAAACAAGCATAGTTAAACAAGAACAACATTAATATCGTTTTCTAACTTATAAATCTATCATTCTCATTTACTCATTAAAAGACATATTTACATGCTTGTCACAATATTTTATTTATTATATAATCATTTCTTTTAGAGACATTTTCCAAGGAAAACAAGAGATTTTCATTCTATAAGTTCATTGCATTAGTTAGTACATAGCTATATTTAACATACATTCAATACTTAGTGAATTATTCTAATTTAAGACGCAAAAAACTTGTAATAAAGATGATAATCGAGAGAAAAAAATCATTATCTTGATTTTTTTTTAAGGTAAGTTATTAGTATGTAAAAACCGGTAAGTTTTAACCATTGACCATGTGAGTAGTGTGCTCTGTTCAGTCAGTCTAGTTTTACACAATTTTTTTTTCTCTTTGATTGAACTAATGACAATAATTAATACTGATAATTTGATAGCCTGTAGATAACAATGATACGAAAAGAAATATTGATCATTACTGGCGGTTTTGTTGAACATTATGAATTGATGATTGATTTCTTATCAAACTTTAATTATTATTAGTCATGTATTCGATGATATATATCCAGATAAGAGAGCATAAGAAACAATAGTCATTGTTATACATAACTTTCTGCACTTATAGTAACATTTTTCTTGGTTAAAGTTAAAGACAGGGGTGACCCGAGGCAGCAAACATTGGGAAGTTATCCCTGACTTTTGAGATGGAAATATAATTTTTTTTCTAATAGAACGCAAGAAAAATTTTCGACTCCGCTGCTGAAAAACGAAAGTTTTCGATTATTGGATGGTTGTCACAACCCCCAGTCGGGCTACTTCTGGTTAAAGATCATAATGTATAAGTAGTACCTAGTGAACGTGCATCGGGTACATATATTTGATTTGACAAAAATCGAAAACTCATCCCTAGTATATATTATGGTCTATAAGTATTCGTTGCAGTTGGTATGATCATTGGATGAAAAGTCACTGAATATAAAGCAATTGGATCTGATCTTCAATTAATCATATCGAAGTTGAATTAACAGAAGTTGTAGTTGATGGCAATTTGATTAAATCATCTGCGCTTGGCCTGATTATCCAAAATGACTTGCTGATTTTTTTGAAAGCTGCTTGATACAACAATTTATCTTTCAAAACTATTACTCGGCTATTTTGATTTATTGATCTGACGTAATTCTAGTGTTTTCTTTTAAATATTCGAGTTATTAAACGTATTTCGATTTTATTGAATAGAGATAGCGAAGCACTATACTCATGCTATTCGTTTGAACTATGTTAAATACTCGTAACTCTAATAAAGACATTCTATCAATGATAATATCAACAATGATGGAAACTGATTTCAATGATCTTGTATATTAACTCCGAAAAAACAATGAATAGTACTGATTAACTTTTGTATAATATTTCACGAAAGTGGGAATAAGAAAATTTAAAATCATCGAAATAAATAGTAATAAATTCTTAAAAATAGAGTGATAAATGAGATTGCTCAATGAGAAAATTAGGTGTGATTAAATAATTAGATTTTTACAGAATGAAAATCTTTGAAAAATAAATTGAACTTCGAACTAAAATTTTCATTGTGTACTATTTTTAAATTGTTTGATTTCAAATTCACTTACTTTATATATTGTTATTACAAATTATTTTGTTTAAATTCAGTGCATACAGAAAAAAACTTCAGATTACACATAGCAATGAGAGGATTTCAATCTTTATATTAATCTGAACAGATTAATAATCTCATTTATAATAAGTCATTATTCATACTACCGACACTTCGCGATAAAGAGACTTCGCAGTCACAGATCTAATTATTGCAATGACCTGAGACTGAAGTACGTATCTGTCACAGAGTTGAGAAGTTTGAGTTAATCTGGTGTAAAGTACTCGGCACTATATAAAGAAAGTATATATATATATTCAACTAGAATGCAAGAATTGATGTTATCTTGTTTTGATACACTTAAGATATATAGCTGATGATTTAACTAAATATTGCAGAGTTGGAGATAACTTCAGTGAAGCAATGAGCATTAGTTGCAATGCCACGATAAAATCTTATTATTGTATGTTAGTAGTGTTTCGAATTGATTAAGCCAGAAAAAGTAGAACTCTCGTTAATAGTTAGTTGACCTAATGACACCAGTAATGAGATTAGTATGACTAGGTATCATGAGTTTATATGTCTCTTTCAATTCGTTTTAATTGCTTGTGTAATCAATATTCAGAAGCAACAATCATTGGGCTCATTTTCTTTGGAAATCACTGGATTTTCCTATTTGTGCAATAGTTGTCGCCTTCACACCTACGTGTTCTTGTGCTGTCCTAATGATTATACCCTTCCTCTCATAAACTCGTTGTTGTACGTTGAACATATCTTTATTGTATTATGTTTGTCATGATCAAGCAATGCTCAATTTTCTCTAAATTGATAAGTTCGAAACATGATTTTTATTGATTCATAGTTATTGTAATCATTGTTATTAAATATTTCTCATTATTTTATAAAACAGTAGATAAAAGGATTATAGAGACAATAGGTTAAATAAATTAAAGTAACTGTGGCTAATACACCTATATGTCCATGTTATTACAACACACCTATGAAATATCATATAGTATTAATATAGGGCATCTTTTGTTTTTACATAGCGAACTTTTTTTTCATTTTAGTGATAGTTAAGATAATCTTTTAGAGCAAGCAGTAAAAAATAGTAGTCATAAGATTAGAATGAGTAAACGTATATTTGCAATGCATAAATGACTAATTTTCGACATTATATTTGCGACAGAAGAGAAACAAACCTGCTGTTGAGTCAAGAATATGAAAGAACACAACAAGAAAAAAATATTTGCATTCATCTCATCTCATCTATCTAACATACACAGTTATTATAAAACTTTTACTGTATATTAAATTGTCTTTATTTTAGATAAATAACAAGGTATCATGACTGAAAAAGATCATTTATTGAGTGGTCCAGCACCCATGTATCCTTCAGTAGAACCTTTTGGTGATACACAATCAACATCACCACCACCACCACCACCACCACCATATTCATCATCATCACCACCACCACCGCCACAAGGTACTGCATTTCCAGTTGCCTCTCAATATCCACAAGTTGAATTTAATAATGGATGGGCTGGATGGAAAGATCGTGGTTTTGCTATTGCATTTTGGATTCATTTTATTCTTGTAGTTGTACTTGGTTTAGCATTAGGTATACCTGCTATTCGTGCAGATGCAAAAAAACCTTATGATGATCCTACACGAACTGTATTTGATTATAATGCTGATTTATTTATTCGTCTATTTGTTGGTGGTGCAGCTTTAAGTGGATTGATTGCATTTTTTGCATTTTTTGTTTTACAACGATGTGCTGGTCGAATTATTAAATGTTCACTTTATATGGGTGTAGCAATGCAAATATTACTTTGTATAACTTTATTTATAGTTGCTTGGCCTATGGGTATAATAACACTTATATTTGTTCTTATTTCACTTTGGTATATATATTATGTTCGAAATCGTATTGCATTTGCTGAAGCTCATATACAAGTTGGATGTGCTGCATTACGTAGTCATCCATCAATTTTAGGTGTTGCTGTTGGTATGTTAATATTACAATTATTATGGATTTTCTTTTGGGGTTTAATGGCATTAGGTTTTGAACATGTTATAAATGGATCAAATAATAAAAATTCATCATCAAATAAAAGTGCAGGTGGTTTATTAGCAATTGTTTTATTAACATCTTTATATTGGGGAGCATTAACATTTCGAAATATAACACATTTTGTAACAGCATGTGTTGTTGGTCAATGGTGGTTTACAGCAGATGCATATAGACAATTTACAGTTGAAAGAAGTTTTCTACGTGCATTTACAACAAATTTTGGTACAATATCATTTGGTTCATTAATACATGCTTTTATAAAATCATTACGTATTGTTGCACAAATTAATGAAAGTAATGCACGTCGAGATGGAAATATTCTTTTATTACTTATAAGTTGTTGTGCTGTATGTATACTTCGAATATTTGAAGGTTTAGTACGATATCTTAATGAATGGGCATTTGTATTTGCTGCATTAACGGGTCAATCATTTCGTAATGCTAGTCGAAGTTTTCTTGATTTATTTCAACAACGTGGTTGGACAATGATTATTAATGATGATCTTGCAGGAAATGCTTTAACAATTGTTACACTTGCTATTGGATTTATTTCAGCAGGTATTGGTGGTATAGCTACATATGTTGCAATGCCACATTCATCTTCACGAGCTCCTATTGCTGGTATGGCAGCATTATTTTGCTTTACAATTGGTCTTGCAATGGGAACAATAATGTCATCAATTTTAAGTTCGGGTGTACGAACAGCATTTGTATGTTTTGCAATGAATCCAGCAGCATTAGGTGCAACACATCCTGAACATTTACAAAATTTACTTCTTGCTTGGTATCAATTTCATCCACAAGAATTTGCTGCTAGTGGTTTTGCTATGTATTTACCCAAACCAGCTGGTTCTGTTAGTAGTGTTTATGCTGCTGTATAGATAAACATAAACGCTAGTTATTTTCAATTTTTATTTTTTGATGAACCTTCTTTCATAAAAAAATTTTTTTTTTTTTGTAATCGAAAATTTTCCAATAAATATAAAAATTAATCCATAAAATTTGATTTTCCTATCGTTGATTCATCTATTCATTGTTAACACATAGATATGTCATATCTTGTTTGTCTTATTATTCGAAAAAAAAATTGTTACAAACATAGACAAAGGAAAAAACGATAGACACATTTAATAAAAAGAAAGAAAGAGAATATTATCGACA